CATCAGACATGACAAGAAAAACCAAGCTGTCCCCATCACTCCACAGACAGGCACCTGTTTATAGCTTGTGGGTTAGGGCTGGCTGGTTTTCAGACCTATCCCCTAAAACCTTCTCAGTGGTGATCATAACTAAGTCTTTTTTGCCTACTACTTAGAAAGGCTTTATATTCATCTCCATACCTGCGTTCATACTTTGCCCTTCATCCCCTTGTCAGATCACATGCTAGCCTTAGCACAGCCTGCTGATAAACAACCCAGAAGCAACCCAAAATACAATTATATAACCCTTATAATCCTATAAGCAATCCAAAATGCAACTATTTAGCTTCTGTACAAAGCAGATGCGTGCAGAGGCTTGGTGTCACTTCCCATCATTGGAAAATCCCAGGAAGCCATTCCTGCCTTCAAATACATACTTTACTTCATACAAAGTTGATGGAGGACATAGAGCTGTACAAGGTTTGTAGCCAGAGAGCGTATGAATTATTAGCCCAAATAATGTAGCTGGAAGAAAACAGAAAAGATTTTGAGTAACAAGCCTTTAAATATTTATCCCGGCAGAGAGAGAGTGAAATCTGTGCTACTTCTGTTTGAATGGCAGCAGATAAGACATTTTACAGACTTTGAGAAACTTCACCCTCTCCTGCGCAGGGCGCTAGCGCCAGCGAAGCAGGCTGCACTGGGAAACTCACAGTGCAATTGTCAGGAGGCTCTGGGTCAGAACTGCACACAGGTAGGTGCACCTTCAGCATCTTATTGTGGTGAGCGTCTGCTAAGTATTTAGTGTCTGAGCTCAAGAAATGCTATGTACTCACAGTAGTAACTTCAGCCACGGTTTTAGGAGCTTCACAATTCTGAAAGTTTCTTTTACTTTATTGCTGATAAAATAGGGAATATATTGCCAGATGAACACGCCAATAGACAGAGATGACAAAATGGCCCGGTGAAAGAAAAAGGTGAGAGAAGCGGTCAGATTTTATGAAGCCTGGTAAGCTGGAAAATCTTTTGCACATTTTTAATATGGTAAACGTGTTTTTCAAAATCTGTTTCAGGCTTGTGATCAAATTGCCCCTCTGTAATTTTTTAAGAGGGGGAAGGGCACAGCAGATGGAGAAGGACTGATCAGAATACCTGATCCATCTCTATTAAAAACCTGGTGTTGCAAATTTCTTTCTAAACTGAGGCAAAGAGAGTAACAGAGAACCTACCATAACAGCAGCTCATCTGTTCAGTCACTTGATGTATCTCGTTATTGTTGCAGTCACTGAGACTCAGCTTTATCTTGTGCGCAAGCACAATAGTGGCACCATATTGAAATGTGTAAATATATTTTCAGAAACTATGTAAAACACCTCCTCTGTACTGACAAAATTATGCACTTAGAATACATGAAACCCTGAGAAAATGCTGCTGCCTTGGGTTCCAAATTCCTTTGATTCCTCATCTTAGTTTTATTGCATATGCAGTGTTATCTGACAAATATATTTGCCTGACTATTTAAAAAGTACTTTGTCTTATCATTTAAATAGCTCCTGTCAACGTTACTTGGTCCTTGTTCACACTGCTATCCCTATGAGTGATAATACAGAAATAGATCAGGTTAAGGTTGGTGTGCGTAGCCCAGATCCGTAACATTGGCATTTCTTATTCCTGTCTGCAGTAGCGAGTATTTTGGAGGAAATGAAGTCTTCAGAAGGATAGCTGTAGGGTCAGGGACAAGAACTGCTTTTTCTGACTTTATTTCCCTTCCCTCCATGCCCATCCCGGTTTTGCTGAGGCTTCTAATACGAGGAGGAAGTGGTCCCTTGGGTACCAACTCACATTAAGCCCTGCTGGGCTGCGCAGCCAGGAAGGAGCGGAGGCAGAGGGCAGGAGGAGCAGGATAGGAACAGGACGGCTCCTACACCAAGGTGTTGACGCAGAAGCTACCCATGCCCTGAAGAAGTATTATGATGTGGCTCCACAGACACATGCCACAGCCTTTTGCCGAACACCAGCGACCCACGGGGCTTTGTATCCAACTTCTCTAGCAGATCTGGAGTGTGGAAAACATCTCCTAGGGGAAAAAAAAAGGGGGGGGGGGGAAAAGGCAAAAAAAGAAACAAATGAAAGGAGCTCTGCAAATCCAGATGTTGGAATTTTCCAATCCCCCTAGCAAGACAAGATAAGCAGGGGATAATCGTCGTTTATATAACTTTTTCTTTTTTTTAAATAAAACCTGAGAAAAACAGGCATGTTTTCACAAGGTTTGCTTGCTTCTTCTCTAAACCCACGCCGAGAAATTTCGGGAGGCCCCGCACCCCCTCGGGCCGCAGCGCC